GGCACCACGGAGGACACCCCCCACTCGGTGCTGCAGCCGCCCAGAGGTGGACAGAGGGGTGGGAGGGCAGGATGCTGGAGGGCGGAGGCGGCAGAGGTTGCTGCCATCCAGGCCCGGTCCAGGGAGGGCGGGACGGAGGGAGACGGCACCCAACAGGACACCCTGGGGGCTGCCCAGCCCCTCCTCCAGAGACCCACACTGCCCTCGGGCCATCGGCACTTCTGCCCACTTAGGGGCCTGACCAGTCCAGAACCACTTGGGGCTGCAGGAGGCACCTGGCGGGAGCGGCGGGGAGGCGGGGTGTGTGAGCCTAGGGCACACGAGGCCTGAGGATACGCAGGCTGGTGTGAGCCCCAAATCACTGGTGACGGTGGCCAGCAGGGCAGGTGTGGGAGGGTGGGGCTGAGCACAGCCTTTTGGAGGAAATGCACCGATGTCATGATCTGGGGACAGCCCTTGAGAGACAGACGCAGAGGGCTCTCCCATCTGGCCAGCCTCCCTCCTTGCCTACCTCTCTCTGCCCTCGGGGCTCTCGCTGTCTGCCCAGGATGCCTGGGAATGATCTAGCTGGCAATCCCGAGAGGCCACCCTGCCGGAGAGCCCCAGGTGGGGAAAGGAGTCACAGACCTGTCCCCCCATGCCTGGGAGGGGCTGTGGCCCGCCCACCTCCCTGCGGCCATCTAGAAGGTACCCTGTAGTTCTGACTCCCGCTCAGGGACGGACTGGCGCCAGTTCACACAGCACAGGGTGTGGTGGGGCACAAGCAGGTGCCACACACACCCAGGTCTCGGCCGTCCCCCACCCTCCCCGGAGACCGGGGAGGTGCCCCGTGGGAAGCACCAGCGAGAGCAGCAGGCCCACGGCCGTCTGACCTCAGCCAGCACCGGGCCCGCCTGCCCACCCTGGCCTGGCCCCCCCGACAGACCTGCGTGTGCACGCGCACACCTGCGTGGGGCCGGGCCTGTACCCGTGCATACGCTCGCGCGCGGGGCCCGGTCCGGGCCGGCGCTGGCTCTCACCCATCCGGCCGTGCTGCACGTGCTGGCCAGGGGGAGCTGGGCTCAGGGGGCCGGGAGCCAACGGGCACAGCGCTCCCACCTGGAGCCTGCCAGACACGCCTGCTTGCTGCCTCCTGCCCCCCACGAGGACCCTGGCCCCACCGGCAGGCCGCCCAGCTCCGCAGGGTCAGAGGACAAGCGCGCACCGCCAGGCTGCCCAGAACCCGTTTGTGTGCCCACGGGTGCACACGTGCTCACGGCGGCCCGCCTGCCCCCTAGGGACCCCCAGCACCGCAGGGAGCCAGCGGGGAGCCCTGCATTCTTCTCGGGATGCCTGCTGTCACTGGCCAGGCCCCAGGGGCAGGCATCCGAGAGCGGGTGTGGCCAGGCCCCAGCACCCGGGAAGGGGGTGGCTGTCAGGATGGGTCCCAGGGAGGCCACCTCCATGCTGGGTGACCTGGGAAGTGACGTAGGCTCCCGTGCCCCTCTGGTCTCGGCTAAGATTAGGGCAGAACCGGCAGCTACCTGTCTGTAGTGCAGGGGGCAGGGGTGGGACCTGCACGCAGTTGGGGGAGGCACCCCAGGCAGGCCCACTGCCACACACCCCCTTGGGGCTTGATCCCAGCCTGGGTCTGACCGCCCACTGGCTCTCAGCACCTCAGTGACCCTGACCCTCAGACGGAGTGAGGTCCCTGCCCCTCCCTGGCCGGGGCACCTAGGCCTCCCAAGCTTTCTGGGTGGGGATTCCTGCGGCCCAGGCCGCAGGGACCCAGGTTGGGGGGGCGGGCGAGGTGATGCTGGTGCCCTGTCCCATTAGCTGCAGCCCGCACCTGCCAGGGACAGCCCCCCACGGCCCCCTGAAGAGAGCCACACCCGGCGACCAGACGTAGGTCATCCTCAGGGTTGGACGAGGGGCGCCCAGGTATGGGGCGGAGGGGCACACGGGCCTGTGTGTCCCCTGCAAGCCCACGCCGGTGGCAGTGGCGACCTGGACACAGCACAGGGCTGCTGGCTGCCAGCCCCAGGTCACGGCACCTCGGTCACGGCCCGGGCCTCACTGTTCTCCTCACCACATCCTCTCCGAGGACCCCAGCCCTCTGCACACCCCCACAGAAACCCCATCCCCACTGGGACAGAGGACTCTTCCTCCGTGGGAACCTCCTCTGTCCAGCCCCTTGGGGATGTGTCCTGCCAGAGCCCCGTCCTGAAGCCTGCCTCGCTCGCCCTGCTGGGGAGGCAGCCCCGTCTGCCAGAGGGTGGTTCTGTCACCTCCGTGGCCACAGCCACACCTCCACCTGGAAGTCCCCAGAGCCAGTCATCCATGGCCAGGCTCAGCCCACCTTCTGCTCCCCGAGTGGCTTGGTGAACCCCCCCACCCCGCCGGCCCTGCCAGGAAGCCAGAGCCTGGGGCTGCTCTAAGAGCCGCTGCGGCCAAGCTCTCCCTGCCCTGTGGCCCCACAAGAGACCGGGGCCAGGAGCAGACTCTGGGACTTCCTACGGGGCTGGGCACAAGGGGATTGCTAATGAACCCGAACCACGTCCCCACAGTGCATCTGACGACAGGGTCAGGCGTGAGTCCAGCCTGCACACTGTGTGCTCCTCCCACCCCCACTGGCCGTGGCCTCACTCCTCCAAGGCAGGCCACAGCCCCAGATGTGAAGGCACAGACCACAGCCTCAGCCAATCTCTGCTTCAGTAACGGATCTTTCTGTTTCACTAAACTCACTCTCCTCTCCGGCTTTTAAGGAGCCCCGGGGTCCAGGCTGGCTGCAGGGTACAGACGCGTGCAGTCAAGACCTCAAAGTTCCCTACCTACAGACTGCTGCGTTCAGGAGGGGTCTGGCCCAGCCCTGGAGACGGAGGGCTGGCCCCTGGGAAGGCAGTGTGGCCCCACTCTGCCACTGCGGGGGGGGGGGCAGGGTGGCCAGGTCTGGGGCCTCGAGCAGCAAAAACATCTGCCCTGCCTCCGTGGCCATGTCCAGAGCAGCAACGCCCAAGCGGAGACCCTGAAAGTGGTCGCTGGGCCTTCCAACGACGAGGCCCGGTCCTTAGGGGTGGTCAAGGGCAGCAGGAACCATCCAGGGCAGAGTGGCCAGGCTTGAAGACCCCTCTGCCTGTCATTCCTCTGTGGCCACTGAGCCAGATCCCAGGTCAAGCAAGGAGCACCTACGGCTCTGGCTCCAGTTCCAGCTCTGGCTCTGGCTCTTGGTTCCAGTTCTGGCTCCTGGTTCCAGCTTGGGCTCCGGCTCCCGCTCCCAGTTCCCGGTTCCGGCTCTGGCTCCCGGTTCCGGTTCCAGCTCCCGGGTCTGGCTCCATGCAGCAGGGCCAGCCCAACACCCTGGGCAGCCACCAGAGGCTGTGCGGGCACTGCCCAGGGCAGCTGTGCACCCAGGGGTCATGGAGCCAACCGTCCTATCGTGGGCCAGGGGTGGGCCAGAGTCCGAGGTCTGGCTGAAGACACAGCCACAGGCACGGAGCGGCCCTGGCCCCGCAGGGGTGGGGCTGGTGCACTGCTTCTTAGCCCCGGGGAGGGGTGGGGGCCAAGGCACCCGGCTCCACAAGGAGCCCTCCACTCGCTCCGAAAAGCGGGCCTTCTCGCGCCTCAGTTTCCTTCCACGGGACAAGACACGTCGGACCAGACGCACAGGCAGCGGTCCGGTCCCCTGCTGGGCAGAAACGCTCCCGACGACGCTCCCGACGTGGTCCTGGCAGCAAGTGCCACGGAGGTGTTGAGCGCCTGCGGTGAGGGCTCCGGGGCAGGCGGGCCCACCGAGGCCCCCACTGCCAGACGCCACGGCTGCAGGGCCACGGCTCAGTACCCGTCGTCCTCCTCGCCGTCACAACCATAATCTGTGGAACGCAGAAGGGAACCGTGGCCACCCGGGTGCCTGGCAGAGCGCCATGGGAGTGGGGTGGTGGGTGGGAGCCCTGCTCCCGCCGGCCAGGCGGCCCTCCTGCAACCCGGAGCCCGCGGCCTTCACATCGGGGAGGGCCCGGTCGGTGACCTCCAGTACTTGTTCTCAGAAGGGACGGAGCCGAGCTGTGAACGCCCCAGGCCCAACCTCCTTCTGGACAGAAAGACTGCGTTTGAAGCTGACAGGCCTGGATGCCTGGGCGGCTCAGTCAGTCGAGCGCCCAACTTCATCTCAGGTCACGACCTCACGGTTCACGGGTTCGAGCCCTGCATCAGGCTCTGCGTCATGGAGCCTGCTTGGGACTCTCTCCCCCTCTCTCTGCCCCTCCCCCGCTGGTTCTCTCTCCCTCTCCCTCTCTCTCTGAAGCACCCCTGCCCCGCCCAGTGCCAGTGTTGCCCCCTCACCGCCACTGCCCATCATCTGCAGGGCGCTGACACAGGGCTCCCCGTCGTCCTCGTCGGGGTCGTCCTCATCGGGGTCGTCCTCGGGGTGGTACGACACGGGCCCGCTCTCCACCAGCACCGCTGTGGGCCTGGCGGGCTCGGCTCCCAGGGTGGACGGGCTCAGGGGCAAGGGCTGCAGGTGAGGGGACAGGCTCTAGAGGCTGCCTGCCCTGGGGGGGGGGGTCCCTGTGCTCCCAGAGTGGTCAGCGAGGACACCCAGAGCCCCTGACCTCCCAAGTGGCCCCCCGCCCCACCCTTCAGCTCACACCCACATCAGTGCCCAGAAAGCCTCGCCCTGAGGGCACGCTGTCTGATGACACAGCCTGGCAGTGCGACCCCGGAGTGGCAGGCCTGCTCCTGGGACACTTGCCCTGCCACCTGCAGGCTTCCGGCCTCCCCGGGCCTGGGCCGGCCCGACTTCTCAGCTGCTCACAGCTCGGTATTCGAGGCCCCTGCCCCCGGCTGCGGCCGCATCACGTACCTCTCCTGCGGCCGCCTTCTTGGCCGGCTGCGCAGACACCATTGGCCTCAACCTACAAGAAAGCGCATCGCAGGGCGTCAGCCCGGGCCAGAGCCACCGGTCGGGACACAGGGGGCCCCGCTGAGATGCGTGGCCAGCCACTCTTCCGCAAGCACGGCGTGTTCTCGGTGCCCAGCCCCTCCTGCTTCGGCTCCCCCGGCCCCCGGCGGCCCTGACCGCCTCCCCAGGGCCCGCTCTGTGGTCACTCTTCCCAGTGGACCCTGTGGGCCTCAAGCTGTGACCTGCCCTGGTTCCCTCTGCCCTCCGGCCCCTCCTTCTGCCTTTTCTCTCAGTGAGCAGATCTCCTCCCTCTGGTGCCAATCACGTCCCGTCCCCCCCCCCCCCCCCCCCCCCCCCCCCCCCCCCCCCGCGCCTATGCCGCAAGGGGCTTCTCCTACTCGAACGCGCGCGGCTCCAGCCAGTCGTTTGAACAGGTCGTGCGTCCACGTGATACAGACCCGTGAGGGGGACGGCATCTATCTCCGAGTCCCCACCCCCAAAGGCCAGGCACTGGCACCGTACCACGTGGGGGCACAGCCGCTGTGCTGGGAATCGGGGCGGGAGCAGGGCCCCTGGCAGAAGCCGGAAAGCAGGGTTCTTCGGTGAAAGCTTCTTTACGACGTTGGCAGCAAATGCCAATTTTAGCTAAAACGCCACGCAAGCCAACAGGAGACAGCCCTGGGCCGTGACACGTCCACCGATATCTGATGAACGCAGACCTGACGTCGGGCTGCCCTCGGGCTCTGCCAGCCTAGGTTCTGGACCGGCGTGTGGGGGCTGCGGGCAGCAGCCAACCACAGCCCTGCTCCTTCCGTGGCTGGATGCCTGGAGGAGTGGGGGCCTAGCCCCCTCCCCCCAGACCCTCCAAACACAAAAGCCGGGACACCGGCCACACCGTCACTTGCAAGGAAGGGAGGAAGGAGAACAACACCAAGACCCCCCGGACAACGCCGACCTGTCCGGGGCGACAGTGAGACCCCAACTGAGAGGAGGCAGGCTCCCCTCCCACGGCCTGGCCATGGAAGCCACGCACGCTCAGGGACCCTGCCCCAGGGCCGGCGGGGGGAAGCATCCAGACGGGCCTCAGATGACCGAGCGCACCCCACCACTGTGATGTGCCAACGAGCCCTGGGACACTGGGAGTGGACACCAGGGCAGCTCTGACAGGTGGACAGGCCCTCGGAGCGCTCGTGGGAGGTTTCTGCTTGGCACGGCCTCAGGCCAGCGGCCTCTGAGCAGGAGGCCGGCGGCCTCTGACCAGGAGACTGGCAAATGTGTGGCCGTGCCGGCCGAGACCACGGGCCCGGTGCAGGGAGGGCGGTTCCCACAGAGGTGGACTCCCGGTCCCCACTGGGAAGCTGGCCTGTCCACCCACCTGGCTGGGGAAGAGTCACGGCAGTCAAGGGCGTGTGGGACGGCCAGCGGGGAGGCGGGGGTATGGGCCAAGCAGCCCGGAGGAGGGTCTGCGAGCCCCTGGGAAGGAAGCACGTCCTCCCCTCGGCCCATAACCCCAGCCCGCTCACCCTCTCACAGCCCGGGTCACAGACGCACTGGCGCTGAGAGGGCACGGCTGACCCAGGAGACGGGGGCTCGCCCGCACGCTGTCCACTGGCGGCCAAAGACAAAGCAGCCCCTGTGCGCCGTGGACAGGGCGCCATGGGCTGTGGTGGGGGTGACGCACCCCCACCCCACTCAGCCCGGGGCAGCCTGAGCAGCCCGGCAGGAAGGCCCCGTGCGGGAGGGCGCCAGGTTCCTGAGGGCTCAGGGCGCCGCTCTGGGGGTCCAGCGAGTAGGCAGGGGACAGGCTGGGGACACCTCCCCAGGCCCCAGACCACGACCAGAAAGGATCACGGGGGTGCTGGTCTGTGGCAGGCCGCGCTGGGCGCTCGGAAACCAGGGAGCAGAATAACCAACTTCTAGAGAAAGTGTCACGGGCGCCTGGGCAGCTCAGTCCGTCAAGCTTCTGATTCTTGATTTCGGCTCAGGTCATGATCTCACCGTTTGTGAGTTTGAACCCCATGTCGGGCTCTGTGCTGACAGCACAGAACCTGCTTGGGATTCTGTCTCTCTCTCGCCCTTCCTCTGCCCCTCTCACACGCTCTCTCTCTCAAAATAAATAAAAATAAATTTAAAAAAATTAGAAAAAAAGAAGCGTCACAAGGGGCGCCAGGCCGGCTCAGTCGGCGGAGCACGTGACTCTTGGTCTCAGAGTGGTGAGTTCAAGCTCCACGTTGGGTACGGAGTTTACTTAAACAAAGCTTAAAAAAAAAAGGGTCACAGAAACCACGAAAAACATTTAGTCCCACGTGAGACAAAAAAACACACCAAAAACATTTTTACTTCTCGGTTGAGTTAGGGTTCAAAACCGGTAGCGACAGAGGTCTGGGGAGGTGAGGGCAGGGGAGTGGGGCCACCCCGCCCCGCAGGCCCTCCAGGGCGCCTCTGCGCGGGGCGCATGATGCCCTGCGTGACCCCCTGGGCCCAGGGCGCTGGCCTGCTCTGCCGCCCCCAGCTCCTCCCCTGACCCGCTCACCCCCCACAGCATGTGCTCTCCGCCAGCCCCCCTTCTCGGCAGAGAGAGGCGCGCAGCCAGGGCACGGGGTGCGGAGAGCCCCTCCTGGAGGACAGGCCGGCTCACCCGCTCCGTGAGCGGAACACACCCTGAGGCCACAGCCCCCTTCCAGGGCCGGAGCCCCTCGTCAGCGCCCGGCCCTTCGCACAAACGGGAGCACGCAGGGCAGCGGGCGCAGCGCCAGGCGGACGTTCGTCCCCAGCACTTGGGGGCCGAATGCCAGCCCAGGCCTCCCGCCCTGCTCAGAACCAACACCCGGCCCACCGGGCCCAGTACCTCTTCCCCACGCTGGTCCCGGGGTCGGCCCTGTGCCTCCTGGCGGGCGTTTTCCTCCGAGACAGCTTCCGGGTGGCGGTCCGCCCCTCGGGCTGTGCGTCCTCCTCCTGCAGACCGCCCCCGCCCTTGCTGTTGAGGTCCCGGAGCACGCTGTAGTTGATCTTGCTGGAGATTTTCTTCTGCTCCAGCATCTTCTCGATGGCCTCCCCGGCCGTGCTGGCCTGGATCGGCTCCCGGCGTTTGCAGGACTTCTTGGGCTCAACGGAAACGGGGACGTCACCACCCCACGGGGACCTCAGCGCCCGTAAGCCTGCTAGGTGCTGCGTGGGATGTGGGGGCACGGCCGGCTGGACAGCGGCAGGTGTGTGTGTGTGTGGGGGGGGCTCGGCAACCAGGGTCTCCTGGGGACCCCCGCCCGGGGGAGCCGAGGTGTGCAGGGCCGGGGCCTCCCTGAGGGCGGCTCCCACCTCCTCTTGGAACTGGGGAAGCCGGCTGCACCCCGCTGTGCCCTGGCGGCTCACCACCACCACCACCAGCCGGGGGCAGGTCTCGGGGCATGGGGCCAACTCGACCGCCCACGAGCCCACCACGCAGATACCCGAAGGGCACACAGGGTGCTCCCTGACCTCAGGAGGCGTCACCCAGCGGGGACGGACCTCATCCTGGGAGCCGCACCACGCACAAGGGCCTAACTGTGCCTCCTGCCAGCTCCTCCCTGCCATGCTGCCGGGGGCCCCAAACCCTGACCCCCAAGCTCCAGGGCCACCCCTGGCCTCCTTCACCCCCTGCCCCAGAAAGGTGCTCCCCATCTGGCCACACGAGCAACAGGCCACATCACTGTGACCACCAACAGGAAGGGAAGCGTGACTGCAGGTTCTCTCAGGTCCCAGAGCTGGGACAGGGTGTCCACGGAGGTCACAAGGCCCCAATTCAGCCTGCCTAGGATCTTCCCCAAAGCCGAACGGCACATCTGTCCGAGGGGAGGCCAGCACAGTCAGGGCCCAGCGGCCAGGGGCACAGGTCTGTGCCGCCCCCCGGGAGCCCTGGCATGACTTGGGGTGGGGGGGGAGCAAGGCCGGCCCCCACGCGCACCGGGTGCCCCTACCTTGTGCTCCTTGTAGATGCCAAGCTCCTTCTCCTTTGCTATTCTTGCTTCTTTCTCTGAAAAGTCCCCAAATGGCAGGATCAGCAGGGGCCCCGTGGCCCAGGCTCCCGGGCGGGCGGGCGGGCGCTTACCCCTCTGCTCCCGCAGGTACTCTGCGTTCTCCCGCATCCACAGCTCGGCCTTCACGCGGGCTTCCGCCTCGTTCAGGATGTACTGGGCAGAACACAGCACCACACTCAGGTCTCGGCCACCAACACCCTTCCTGCTTGTATACGCTGGTCAGGGGTGGACCTCTGACCCACGAGGCTATAGGCTCACTGGGGGGAGCCGGTCGGGGACCCTGTCGCCCTCCACCCCTTCCAAGGCCAACAGCAGGGGCACAGGAGCCAGGCCAGAGTGCGGGGGCACAGGTCCCTGAGAAGGAACTGAGCTGAGGACACAGTGCCCCCCACCCCCGGGAACTGATGAAGGGCCCGGGGGCCGTGTGGTGGCCCGGTGTGGGGACGCCCCACCCGCGGGAGGGCAGGGCGGTGTGGCCAGCACAGACCACGTGCCGCACGGGCGGAGGCCGCACGCACACTCACCCTGTCGATCTCCAGGTCGTCGATGCCACTGAGGTCCAGCTCGCCGTCCCCACACGCGTCCGCTACGGGGAAGCACGACACCGGTGTCATTTGGGGTCAGTAACTGGTGACCAAGTGCACACTCCCCCGGGCCGTCTCAGGACGCGGGGGCTCTGGCCGAGGGCGGACGGCGGCCCCTCGGGGGACAGTGCGTGGCTCTCACGCCAGCGCTTGTGCAGGAAGGACGCTAGACCAGAGCCACAGCCGAGGCAGTGCCCCTCCAGTCCCCGCGGCTCCCGGACGACAGCAGCGTCTCTGGAGCAGGAGAGGGGCCGCGGAGAGTCCCCAGTGACACGCTCGGGACGTCCCCAGGCCCCGCTGGCCACTCCCCTCCTGCCTCAGCTGGGTCAACAGCACAGTCTGCACGGCCCAGAAAACGGGGCAGCCGCTGCTCTCTGCGGCCCCCGTCGCCAGATGGTCCTCTGCCGGCTCCTCCCGATTCCACCCACAGCCCGTGGGCCACACTGTCGCTCCGCAGCCGAGGCCCTGCGTGGACTCCCCCTGGCGCTCAGACACATCGCTCGCACGCCTCCCTGCTCTGCCTCGATGCCGGCTCCCTCGGCCCCTGCCAGAATGGTCTCCTCCTGCCCTCAGGGCCTTCGCACAGGCCCTTGCGGTACAACCTGCACACCGGGCTCGGGCTGTCGCCGTCCCTCTCACCCCAGACGTCACCGCCATCAGGGCAGGCACGTGCCCGCCCATCGCCACACCTGGCTACGGGGTATGTGATGAACGTCTGGGCGGCACAGCCTCACAGGGGCTCCTGGCCCAGCCCTCGGTGCCCGGAGACGAGGCAGGGCCTGCACCCTGCAGTCTGGGGACACCTGAGGGAGGAAGACGCGGCAGAACCGGGACAGCCTGCGCCCCAGGCCTCTCCCAGCGGGGTGAGGGCAACGCTCCTGCTGGGCCACCAGCACCGCCAGCGCCGAAGCCCAACCGGCGGGGACCGGGCCCTCAGTCAGACGAGAAGGGACGGGGGCGGGGGACCCAGGCCCTGTCCCCGTGGAGGAGCTCGGGCAGGAGGACCTCCGGCCAGCAGAGGGCTCCGGCCAGGACTAAGCCAGCGGGCCACTGGGGAAGGGTTCTGAGGGTGGTGACAAACCCGTGCCGGGATCACCGGCGGCTCACACACAGCAGGCGCGGCGCCCACCCGTCCGTAAGGCTGCACCCCACCTCCCCCAGCTGGGGACGGGCCATCTGGACCTGCTATCTGCCGGCCACGGTCCCGCCCACCTGCCCAGAGGAGCCCCCCTCCTCTCCCCAAGGCCCCCAGGCACTCACTGGGGTCCTGGCTCTGGGAGGAGATGCACTCTCGGATGGAGTCTGAGATGCCCAGGCTGGCCGCGGTGGGCAGGGGGCCAAGCAGGGACTCCAGGGCAGGGGGCCTGGCGCCCCCCTCGGGGTCTCCGGCCCCCTCGGAACTGCTGGACAAGCCGCTACCAAGGATCTCCTGGTAAAAGTCCTTGTTCAGGTGGCTGGCAGCGGCTTCCAACTCCTCGTCCTCGGCATCGTCGTCCCCAAATACACTGGACGTGGTGTCCTCCACGGAGCCTAGGGACCCAATCGCACACACCGCCTGTGAACCGCGTGGAAAGGCAGAGGCCCCACCGCCGTGCAGAGAAGCATCGCCGCCCAGCCAGCAGTTACTTCGTTAACATCAGTGAGCAACCGACGAAAGAGGGGCTCAAAGACGCGCCTTGTCACAGAGGGAGCCCGACGTCCACGCACCTAAGCACGGCCCTGGGCCTATGCCTCACGCTTTGTGCAAAAATCCACCCAAATTTAACACCTAAAAATTTTTTTTAACGGGGGAAAATACCTGTGGCTTTAGGTCAGGCAAAACTTCCTAGTCACATCTGGGAAGTGACTCGGGAAGCAACCCACAAAACATCAGTCGCTTCGATCGCAGCCAGCTGGAGAGCGTGGCCCTCCCGTGAGCAACTGGTGCCCGGGACACGCGGGCGACACTCGAGAGTCCGGAAGAAGAAAACACACGGCCCGTCAGCACCGGCTGCGGCTTCTGTGGGCGCCATCACCCTCCCGCCAGGCCAAGAGTGGCGTCGGGAAGCGGCTCCCACGCCCGGCAGGGCACACACGCGGCGGCCCCTCCCGAGGCAGGGGCACGTGCCCCGCACCGGCCAGCAAGTCCGCTCCTCGGCGCTCGCCCGGCAGAGAGGAGGTAAACGTCCACGCGGTCACCTGCGCGGACGTTCACGGCGCTGTGTGCGCGACAACCCAAACCCAGAAAACACCCCACGTGTGCGTCAGCCCCGGCTAGACTAACGACCCGGGCGTACGTCGGGCCCGCCACGCACCACAGACGGGGCCGCTGTGCACCCGACCCGTGCGCTCCCACACAGCAGAGTGGCCGGACACGCGTCAGGACGGGCCTCGTGATCCCACGGAGGAAAAACGCCAGGAAGTACAACCGACCTCCGAGGGCTGCCTGGGATGCGCAGGCTGACACAGGCCCAGGGCGTCGGGGGGTGGGGGGAGGGGGGGCCTTGTCCATCTCACCAAAACACCACCTTCTAAGTTTGCGGTTTGTCGTGCCTCAGTGACACCTCAGTAAAACCACTGACGAGTCACCAACGACGTGCGTGGTTCCTTACAGAGTTTAAAGTTTACGTGAGACCTCACTCTGGGGCGCCTGGGTGGCTCAGTCGGTTAAGCGTCCGACTTCGACGCAGGTCACGATCTCATGGTCCGTGAGTTCAAGCCCCACGTCAGGTTCTCCGCTCTCTGCGCAAAGCCCACTTCAGACCCTCTG